GAAGCAACAGAGACCTCTCAGGTGACATTCAACATGGCATTTCTATAACAGTAAGTACCTGCCACACAGGGTTGTTGTAAAGACTAAATGAGGTAATGCACACAAAGCACTTAACACCTGATCTGGTTATCACAGAGCCTAAGGCTTAGTTTAGCACCTAAAGTATTGCTAGTGCTCAGTAAGTTAGATATATTTTCTGCTCACTGCTACCTCTTTATCCATGTCATGGTCCTACCTAAATGTCCTCCCCTTCAATGGTGCTAGACTCACCTTTTTTTTTTTTGCGCGTGGGCGGGGGGCAGTACTGAGAATTGAACCAAGGAGTTACATACTCATCTCTCACCCCCCCCTTGTGTGTTTGTGTGTGTGTGTGTGTGTGTGTGTGTGTGTGTGTGTGTTGCTGGAGATTAAACCCAGGGCTTTGTGCATGTGAAGCAAGCACTCTGCTGAGCTACATCCCCAGCCCCCCTTTTTTTATTTTGAGACAGAGTCTCACTAGGTCCTGGAGGTTTGCCTCAAACTTGTGATCTTCAACCTCCTGAATAACCAGGATTACAGGTGTATGACCACACCCAGGAAGGATTARCTTTTTCCCACAGTATTCTATTCAAGAACAGCCTTCTCCAGGAAGTCTTCCCTGAAAATTGTAGGCTGGATTCTCTGTGTGAGCAGTCTGGGAAAAGCCTGTCATCACTTTTCACTGTATGGTTATCAGTTTTATCTGTGCACCCAAAAACAAGCAGCTTCAAGGGGTCTGATTTAGCCTTTGTTAGCTCAAAAATGAGTGACATATTAGCCAGAAAGCCAGTTACTAAGTTTATAAATACCCAAAGAGCTAACCCTTGTTGAACACTTACCAGGTAGCTACCAGGCAGTGTGTTCAAAGCCCTCATGGCACTAAGGGAAAGGTGCTACTATTATCTTTATTCTACCCATAGGAAACCCAAGAGATTAGACAGCATGCCAAGATCAGGATCTGACACAAGCATATGGATACAGAGCTCTCAACATTCTTGAAACCCAGTTCTAATCAGAGGGTATCAGGAGGATATAAACTAAGCAAGAGAAAAGACACTCCCAGCTAGAGGCATCAACATGGACACACTCATCCATTCGGTACTGGAGAGGTTCTACAGAAGACTGCATTAAGCTTCTCTGGTCAGGGCTCCCAGGTAGTGTTACAGACACACTATCCACCCCAATTTCCACAAACATCATCTGAACCCTCTCCTAGAAACACACATCTTTCTTCTGAGGCTACAAAATTAAGTTTGAGCTTTCTGACTACAAACACATTCCAATCATGCCTTCCTGGGGTTATAGCTGGGTCAGTTTGGTTGAATTTAAAGTTTTCTCTGAAATTCTCTAAACTACATTTGCAAAATGTCTTTTGGCCTTGTATCTTTCTGTAGATAGTTGATTTGTAATGTTTTGATTTTATTTTCAGATGATCATTCATTCATTCAGCAAATACCTAATCATTTCCAGAACACTGTGTTCTAGACCCTAGAGATAAACGCAGTGAATAAGATAGGCAAGATCCCTGAAACCTGGCAGAACTTTTTCAGTGTCTCCCCTTCTATGCACTTGGCATATTTTCTGGCAACGGCTTATTTGACTTTCCTGCCCAGGCTGTACCTTTCAGCTCTGGATTCTGATCCTACAGTGAAGTGACTGGCCCATACTGTAAGTACTTCATTAATGGGAGCTAACTAAATTCACTGGTTCTCCTCTTTCTATCCAGAGTGGGACCAGATTATATCTGAAGTCCCTTAGAAAAAAGGTACAAAATCTAAATTAAGATAAACAGAACACAAATGGCAAATGCAACCTGTATCAAAAAAGAAGATAAGACATGATATATCAGCTAGTAAGAACCACCTTGAGAAGTGATGAAGGGCTCCAACACCTGGAGAAAGTATGGCTTTAGAAACATGTTGAGAAGACAGGAAAATGAAAGATTAACCTGCAGAAAAGTCTGAGATGGGGGTCAGCAAGTGGACGCAGAGGTGGGGAGCAAGATGGTTCTCTATGTAGAAGTCACATACAGGATATGTGGGAAAGGAGCATATATGGGGAGGTGGGGGAAGTAGTATGAAGCTAAGCCTCAAAAACAGTCCCCAGGCAGATGTAGGAAATAGAGCAGCAAAAACAAGTGATAAGGCACAGTCACACAAATTTAAGAAAATGACCACAACCTTTTTGGAAAAGGCCGACTAAAAGCCAGGCTGGTTCATGAAAAAAAGAATGGCTCMTCATGCCAATATTAACAGTCAAAGGAAATGAGTAAGCAACGGCCATTGCATCTATCAATTAAGGGACCCTCAAGAGGACAGTTTCAACAGAAACAAAGACGCATTTGAAGCTCAACTCCTAACACTTCAGGTTCTAAGAGAAAAATGGCAGCCTGCTTTTCTGTAACTCCAAAACAAAGCAATTTCTTAATCAAACTAACATTCTTTGTCCACGTAGAAAGATCATCATCTTCCACCAAAGACAAATTCACAGGAGGAAAAGAGAGAGAGTAGACACTCAATTCATGTGATACCTCACCCTGGTAGCTCATATTCAACTATTTTCCTAGAGGTTTAGAAGATTCACTGGGCATACAGTGCCTGGTATATTAGGCTTAAGATTTTCAAAAGAATAAACATTTAGTAAAAAATTTTGCAGAATCACATGCAACTTATTTATTGTTTTAAGGATGCTTAAAGTATGCTGTCTTCCAAAAATCCAGAGATAATTTTAGATTGAAAAATCTAGGCTTGCCAAGGGAATCTGAGAACTTTTCTATCTTGGTCTCCAATCTAACCTACGTATTCATGTGCAAAAATAGAGGAAGATTAGAATCTCAAATGCCAGACTGAAAAGTTGCCACAACAAACCTGAACTCTTCATATGGAGTTTGTTATCTTGTCAGTAAGAAAGTAAATGAAACAGCAATAAAATAAACTTTTGCCTTTAAAATGTGCATTTTTAAAAAATTATTTATCTAATGAGAGGCTACTATCCAGAATAAGTAATGATTATTTACAACTCAAGAACAAAACAACAAATAATTCAATTGAGAAATGGACAAAGGACTTTAAACAGACTTAAAATGTACATTTTAGGGGTTGGGATTGTGGCTCAGTGGTACAGTGCTCACCTAGCATGCAGGAGGCACTGGGTCTGATCCTCAGCACCACATAAATGTAAAATAAAGATATTGTATCCACCTAAAACTTAAGAATAAATATTTTTTAAAAAAATGTTCATTTAAAAAAAAATCTCAAACATGAAATACTCCTTGGATTGTAAAGGAAAATTATTTTTWAAAAAACACTGAAAATAAAAAATTGTGGCATTTTTTAAGGCACATGAAAATATCTGATCATACACAAAAATCTGTAAGTAGACCTTTATAAATACATACTTAGAACTTTAAACCTAAAATATAAGATGAAAAAACAGTTACAGCTTATTCAATAAAACTGCAACAATTGACTAGCTATTCAGAAACTATTATTTTATATCTTAAGCCAAAAATAAGTTCTAAGTAGATTAAATAACTAAAAGTAAATAAAACGATGAGAAGCAAAGGTGGATGGAATTTTTTTGAAAAATTGGAATAGGGAAGAATTTTCCAAATATATGAAAGAAGAAAAAATACATAGTATTTATTTTTTAATGAATGTTACCTTTACRCCCCAGTTGTAAATTTATCCCAAGACAATAATCAGACAAATCCTTTTGGCAAAATCATTTTATGGCAAAATGGAAATAATCTAAATATTCATCAGGCCAGGCCCTGCGGTGCATGCCTGTAATACCAGCAAGTTTAAGGCCAACCTTAGCCACTTAGCAAGCCCTAAGCAACAAGGAGAAACCCCCGTYTCAAAAAAAGGGGATGGGGTGGGGGTTGGGGCTGGGATGAAACACAGTGGTAGAGCTTCCCAGGGTTCAATTCCCTGTGCCAAAAATAAATAAATGTTCATCGGTAGGGTTTGGTTAAATTATAGCATATCATGGTGTACTACAAAGCCCATAAAAAAATGACATCATGTATCTGTATTTACTGATATCACTAAAATGATAGCTGTGGTTGTCACTGAATGATAGGTTGGTGGATGTCTGTCATTTCCTCCCTTAACACTTTTTGTAATGTCTTGAGTGTTTTACAAAGGCGAGAAGAATAAATTCCTCTTATAATGGGAATGAGGAGCAAAAACAAGCTACTTTCAAATTTGGGCTCTCCAAGCCCAGTGATTCTCTGACAAATTTTGTAAGAAGTATAAACAAAATTCTTATCATGCCAACCAGCCACGCTTCTTTCCTCKCACCGCGCGAAGCAGGAAGACACACCCCTGACCCTGCGCTCCCCACGGGCGTGGGTCCTTCATCTTCAGCCCCGGCCCTCCCGGGTCCCCGCGGACCCTCCCCTGGCCCCACTGCGCCAACAGGCTCAGCAGGGCCGGAAAATCACGTTCCTCAGCGGCCCGGCACSACTGGGAAGGTGCGCACCGCCGGTCAGGCAGCCGCGGGGCGGCGTGAGGGCCGCGTCCCCCACCAGCCCCAGTGGACCCCGGCCGCCTGCTGCCCACAGGCCGCTGTCCTTTCGCGGACTGCTCCGCGAGCTTCCGGGAGCGGGTACCAGGGCCAGCCTGACCTCTCGGGCCCCGGCGTCCCGAGGGAATGTCCCCCTCCCTCGCCTGGCCAGCGCCGTTCCTCCCCTCCCGTCCCGCGTCCTCCGGGTCTCGGCTGCGCCCCCAGTCCCAGGCACGCGCCAGGAGGCCCCTCCGGGCTTCCGTCCGCTCGGCCAGCGCCCGCAGAGCCCGGCGTCCTCCACAGCGGGCGGGCAAGGGGTGGGCGCCCAAGGGCCGGAGCCCTGCGGTCCCGAGCGGAGCGGCGCCCCACGAGCTCGTCCCGTCACCAGTCCCGGCCAAGTCCCACAACCCACCGCCCACCGTCCGACCCCGCCTGCCTGCGCCCGCCCGCGCCCGCTCGCGCCCGCTCCTCACCTGCGACGGGCTCCGACCCCCAGCACACCGCCCGGACCGGCTGTGTACACCGGAAGTGACGTTAGAGCCAGCCCCGCCCCCGCCCCAGGCGGACGCCGGGGTGTCTGCAGATCCCGGGGCTGGAGCAGACCCTCCCCTAGCGCAAGCTGGGCGGGGGTGTCCCTGAGCGTCTTTTCTGCAGATCGAGGACGTCCGGATGGGACGGCTTGGGAAAGGGTTGAGGACTGGCAACCAGAGCCGTAGGATCGCTCTGATTCTCCACAATGGCTTGGCCCCGGTGCGGGAGAGGACGGTTGCGTCCTTATGGATTTATTATTGAAATTGATGACTTAAGTATTGAGCTGTAGATGCCAGGCGCTGACAGTCACTAGTCACTGACGGAATCGGATAATACTCTTAGCCTCATAGGTTCATTCTCTATTGGTAGAAACGGAATGCAGCTGTCACAGATCCCGGTGATACTATAGTGCCAATTGTGACAAGTGGTAGGAGGGGAAAGTGGAAGAGGGGAGGGMAAGAGTACCCTGACCTAGTGGAGGAGGGTGATCAGGGTATTCCCCCAGGAAAAGAGTAGGAGCTGAAATCCTAAAGAGGAAAAGGAAAAAACAAAAATAAAAAACTGGGGAAGAAGAACAGGGCATTACAGCAGAAGAAACAGCAGGTGTTTTCAAACTGCTTTGTATTCAACAAACAAGGAATAGGATCAGGAGAAGTTAGGCCTTACCTGAGAACATTGCATACCTAATGACTTTTAAGCAAGGGACGATTTGACCACCTTTATGACTTTAAAGAGATTACTCTGGCTGTAGTGTGGAGGACTGGGAAGGGGAGGCAAGAGTCAATGTATGGAAATGGGGGTGCAGCTTAGTGCACCTGGCCTACCATGTATGAGGGCCTGAATTAAATCCCCAACATCACAAAAAATAAGTGGATCAGATTTCTACAAACCTGTTCATAGAAGTTTTATAATAACCAAAAGACACAAGTAATAATGTTCAGCCAAGGACAAGTGGATAAACAAAACGTCAGATGTGTGTGTGTGTGTGTGTGTGTGTGTGTGTGTGTGTGCGCGTGTGTATAATAAAATATCATTTGGCCTTAAAAAGGAAGAAAATTCTGCCACATGCCAAATGGATGAATCTTGAAGACATTATACTAAATGACATAAGCCAGTCAGAACTCACAATTCTGAGTCCACTTATATGAGTACCTGGAGTAGCCAAAAGCATAGAGACAGAAAGTAGAGCCCAGCACTGTGGCACAGGCCTGTAATCCCAGTTGCTCAGGAGGCTGAGGRAGGAGGATTGTGAGTTTGAAGCCAGTATCAGCAAAAGCCAGGTGATAAGCAACTCAGTAAGACCCTGTCTCTAAATAAAATACAAAATTGGTCTGAGGATGTGGCTCAATGGTCAAGTACCCCTCAGTTCAATCTCAAGTACCAGAAAAAGTAGAATGGTAGTGAATAGGGTTGAGGTAGAGATGGAGAGTTAGTGTTCATTGGGTACAGTTTCAGTTGGAGAAGATGAAAAAGTTCTGAGGATGGTGGTAGTTATACAACTTCATGAATGTATTTAAATGCCACAGAATTGTGCACTTAAAAGGTAAATTTCATGTTATGTATATTTTACCCCCCACATACATACTCACAAAAAGTAGATGCAGAAATCTATTGGGAAGCTATTTTGATTATTCAGGCAGAAGATGATCCTGATTTACACTTAGGAGCCTCAAAGTTTTAGTTCATGGACATCTATCAAAAAAAAAGTTTGTAAGGGCTGGGGTTGTGGCTCAGTGGTAGAGTGCTCACCTAGCATGCATGAGGCACTGGGTTCGATCCTCAGCACCACATAAATGTAAAATAAAAATATTGTGTCCACCTAAAACTTAAGAATAAATATTTTTTTAAAAAAGTTTGTGTACCTGTAGCCCCAGCTACTCAGGAGTCTAAGGCAGGAGAATTGCTTGAGCCTAGTAGAGTTCAGAACCAGCCTCGGTAACATAGCACAACTCTTGTCTCTTAAAAAAAATTTTTTTTTTTGAGCCAGGCACAGTGGTGCATACCTGTAGTCTCAGTGACTCCAAAGGTTGAGGCATGCACTCTGCCACTGAGCTACACTCACAGTCCCCTATTGAAACTTTAAAGTATGGGCTGGGGATGTGGCTCAAGTGGTAGCACACTCGCCTGGCATATGTGCTGCCCGGGTTCAATCCTCAGCACCACATACAAAGAAAGGTGTTATGTCCGCCAATAACTAAAAAATAAATATTAAAAAAATCCTCTCTCTCTCTCTCTTTAAAAACAAACAAACAAACAAACAAACTTTAAAGTAGCCATTTTCCCATATGGCGGGCTCTGACCCATCTACCCAATTGCTGCTGCTCACTTCACTCCAAAGCTCATGGTCCCAGAATAATGTGCTGGAAACTGTTGTGTCTGTACCATTTGGGTCTCTTCCTATAGGCTTCCATCCAGAACCAGGAAAATCTCAAGTAAAAGCCACACATGCATTTTTAAGTTCAGCATGAACACTGCCAAACTTAGAACCCCTTGGTGACCTTTGTGGTGTGCCAAGCACTAGCCTGTCTCAGACCTCTCAAGCTTACCTGAGAACATTTTATATATTATAGACATGTTGAGTCTTCTTTGTTAGTCTACCTGCAGATGTTATAACTCTTCTCTACAGGTTAGAATTATTTTCATTCATCAAATACATTTGGGGCTGGGGATGTGGATCAAGTGATAGCGTGCTGCCTGGCATGCGCAAGGCACTGGGTTCCATCCTCAGCACCACATAAAAATAAATAAAGATATTGTGTCCACCTAAAACAAAAAATAAATTATATATATTGGGGCTGGGGTTGTGGCTCAGTAGTAGAGCACTTGCCTAGCACGTGTGAGGCCCTGGGTTCAACCCTCAACATCACATAAAAATAAATGAATAAAATAAAGGTATTGTGTCAACTACAACTAAAAAATATTTTAAAAATAAAACACATATGGAAATACAAGGGAAAAAAATACACCCACCAGGCACAGTGGCACACACCTGTAACCCCAGTGGTTTGGGTGGTTGAGGCAGGAGGATCACAAATTCAAAGTCTGCATCAGCAACTTAGTGAGGCCCAACTCAAGAGAGACTCGTCTCTTAAAAATATGAAAAAGGSCTGGGGATGTGGCTCAGTAGTTAGGCCCCCCAGTACAAAAAAAAAAAAAAAAGAAAGAAAGAAAGAAAAGAAATCACCCACGAAACTAACACGTCACCTCTTTATTCTAAGCTGCCTTGCACCAAAGTTCTGAGAAAAAAGGGTGGAACCCAAAGACATAAGGGCCAGGTCCTCCTGAAACCCATGCGTCTTCAGGGACAGAGGCTTCCATCCTCTGGCTCTGCAGAGAGGTCTATGTTCTGAAGCCTCGACACATGTATAAGGATAGAGCCTCAGAGACCACCAGACCAACAGCCTCAATTCACCATTTAGGAGGCAAAGAAGGTCAAGGAACATGGATTCTCCTGAATCCATCTGGCCCCCTTACTAGCTGGTCACAAGTAGAATCAGATCCCATGGAAGGGCTGAGAGTCTCTGAGGCTTTTGCCTGTGATAAATGAGTAGAAGATTTCAAGAGCTCCTCAGTGACTCAAGGACCAGAACAAACCAGACCTGTGTTAGTGAGATGTACCACGGAGATGCACCTTGACCTTGGCAGGAGTTGACCCTTCTTGCTGAGACAGAGCAGATTTTCTACAGCTGGCTTTTATGAAGTTTTCACATTCCTAGTGTCAAAAAGTCTGTGGAATCAGAACATCCCGCTTCCAGGGGCTCCTGAGGGATTACAGAACTGATTTTCGAAGCAGCCAAAGTTATTACTGTTGGCTTRTGTACTTTTCAAGGCAGTAAGAGCCAGGACTTCTACGCTGGGCTCTTACATGTTGGTTTTAGTGGGAACATCTGAAAGAAGAGACTTTAGGGAAGAGGTGTTCACAGCCAAGTTCTTGGTGGGGGTGGGCAACAATGGAGTTGAATCTGGAGAGAGGAACKTTTCTACTTTATCTTATTGGGCTCCTTTGAGCAGGATGTGAAAACTTTGAGATGGGTTATGAGCTGCGGGAAGGGTTGCTGCATTCCAGTGTCCACAGGATTTGGGAGCTAGTCTGGAGAGGGCTGGCTAGACATTCCAGGCAGAGAGCAACTGGCTGCTGGGTATGGAGAGAGGCTGGGGCAAGCCAGGCCAGAAGCTTAGGCGGTGTGTTGTGGCAAGAACAGAGATGAGGGCAGCTTGGGTCATGTGCCCAGGGGGAAACTTCTTCCCCAGTCTTCAAATTGCATCCCCGACCAAGTTGCCTCTTTTGCCTGCTTTCCCCTGTGTGTGACTATCTGAGCATCTTGTTGTTCTCTTTCAGTTCCACCCCCACTGGCTGGAATCCACTGTGCTGTGGCCAAAAGGTCCTAGCCAGGCAGACATCTGGTTTTGTCTCATCCCCACCTCTATGATCCCAGATTGCCTTTCATTGTCCTGAGGGGTTAGAGCTATCCAGGAGCCTAGGAGATCCCTGATGGATGTGCTGGACCCCAGGAATTCAAGTTCCATCTCTGAAGCCAGGACAAGAGACTTAGTACCACTTCCTTGATTTCTCTTTGTCTCCAAAGTCCTGAGTAACAAAGGGGCTGGGGGTGGGAGGGACTAAGATAAAGCCCAAGAGGCTGCTGTGGGACTCCCCAAGGCTGGGTGAAGCAGATATATGTGGGGAGAGGGAGAGCTGCTGGAGGAACCAGGGACCATTGGGAGGCTATGCYTGTCACAAACTCTAAAGGTCTGCATGGTGGCAGAGAGATTTTCCAGGTCCCACAGATTGCCAGGGGATCAAGGTTTATAAACAGAAAATGAGCCGGGATCAATGTCACACACCTATAATCCCAGTGATCTGGAGGTCAAGGCAGGAGGATTACAAGTTTGAGGCCAGCCTCAGCAATTTAGTGGGACCCTGTCTCAAAATAATAAATAAAAAGGACTGGGGATATGGCACAGTGGAAGTGTTTCGGAGCTAGGGCCTTCTAGAACTGAGGCA